AATAAACTACAAATTAAGTTTTGAAAATGGTATTCTGACATAATTTTAAAGCTGGAAATTAGTTATAATAATAATGACAATAATAATTCTTTATTGCTCAACAGGAGAAACCCAATAATAGGACAAAATAAGAACCTAAATTAAGTACATTCTTCACACTACATGTAGCCAAATAATATGAACCTTATATTATAGCAAAAATAAGTTAATTATAAATATGTCTACTCAAAGTGCTACCCCTATTAACTAAATTATATACTGGTGAACTCTCTGATTATTTCTTATCTATGAAAAAAGAAATCAATGATACTATAAATGGGAAGTTCATTGAACTTTAAAATTCAATGGTAATACCCGAAATTCAAGTCAACCAGGAGCAGAGTCTTCCTCCCAAAAAATCATACAGCGAAACAGTCAAACGTGAGAAAGATGTTGTTATATTAAGACCAAAAAATACGCAAGAGACATCAGCTACAATTGAAACACTGAAACAGAAAATCAAACCTGAACAAATTGAAGTTGGAATTACGAAAATTAAACATTTAAAAGACGGCGGAATCGCCGTAACATGCAACAATCAAGAAGAAACTAGAAAACTGGAAGAGGTAGCAAAAGTTAACCTGGGTGATAATTTTCACATAAAAAAAATAGAATTGCGAAACCCCAAAATTAAAATTGTTGGACTTGCTCAAAATCTTGATGTGGAAGACTTAAAACGGGTATTTTCAAACTCGTAACTTGCAAGAAAATGATCAAAAAATATTTAGCCATTATTGAAGTTGATCCAAACACTTTCTCCAAATTTATGGCCTTAAAAACAGTTTTTATACAATGGAGTGAGTGCGCCCTGTATGAACATGTTAACACTCTTAGATGTTTCAAATGCGGTGGCTTTAACCATATGGCTGAGAAATGTAAAGAAAATCATCCGAAATGTCTGAATTGTGGAAACGATGATCATTCTGAAAAAGAGTGTGAACAGGAACCCATATGTATAAACTGCGTGAAAGTCAACAAGAAATTAAATTTGCAGTTAAATATTGAACACTCTCGTTTTGATTGTAACTGTGAGGTATACAAAAGACAAGTGGAAATTAACAAAAGTAAAATTAACTACATTGCATAGCAACCAACTGATAAAGAAGAAAACTTTAAGGTGCTTTTTCTAAACGTATAATGTTTGAGGAACAAAGTTAATATTATGGACGCATTGTTGCACACTTATAAATTTGACGTTTTGTGCTTAAGTGAACACTGGCTCACCACCACTGAAACAGAATTTGTCTTCTTCGAAAAATTTATAACAGCAGCAGCTTATGCAAGAATGCAATATTCCCATGGAGGCGTTATCCAACTCGTTGATTACAATAAAAACTTTAGATCTTTAACTAATGTTACGAATTTATCAGTCGAAAAAGATTGTGAAATGGTAGGTACGTACTTCCCTGCATTTTATCTGTATATTGTTGTCATTTATAGATCACCTTCCGGAGACTTTAAAAATTTCATTGACAAAATAACACAAGTGTTTAACTGTTTAGACTTTAAAAATAGGAATATATTACTTGGTGGTGATTTTAATCTACATTTTGAGAAAAAGGATGATAAAACTGTTAAAGTTTTAACTGACTTAATGACAAGTTTCGGCATGAAACATTTAGTAAATTTCCCAACGAGAGGATTATCTCGCTTAGATAATGTTTACACTAATATTACACCAGATTGTTGTAAAGTTATGCCGCTTAAGGATGATGTATCCGATCACAGTGGTGTAGTGATATCGTTACAAAATATAATAGGTCTTAAAATATGCAAAGAAGACAAACAAGAAATTAAAATTGTAAAACCTATAACACAATATGGAAAATTTATCTTCTTCACTATACTTAGTAAAGCCAGGTGGGATTTCATAAATTCGGATATTGATATAGAAAATAAATTTACCATGTTTTTAAATACAATGTGCTACTACTTTGACTTAGCCTTTCCATCTAAGACAGTTGTTTCTTGTAGACATAATTCTAATAATTATTGTAAATGGTTTACTAGTGACTTATATAAAATGAGAGGAACCTTAGAATTGATTAAAGATGCATATAAGTTACACGGTACTACAGAATTAAAAACACTCCTAGATTCGTATAAAAAGCGGTATAAATTATCTATTAAAAAAGCAAAAATCAACGCAGCAGAAAAATTTGTTTTTGATAACAAAAATAAGCCAAGAGCATTATGGACCATTGTCAATAATCACAAAGCTAAGAAAAAACAAATTAATTGTAACATAACTCCTGATCAATTTAATCAACATTTTTCGACAATAGCACAATGTATTGTCAATAAGTAGTTGCCTACTGCAAGTCGTGATCCAATATCTATTATGACAAACACCAGTACTATGCATAATTGTATCTTTTTATTTAAAAAGGTATCTTGTGTCCAGGTAAGAGATGCTATAAATAGTTTACATAATAGTAACGCCAAAGATATATATGGTTTTTCTGTCCCATTAATAAAATATGTAAAAAACTTACTAATTTCTGAGATCACGAAATTGTGTAATTATTGTATAGAAGAAAATATCTTCCCTTCTTGTTTGAAAGTGGCCTTAGTTGTGCCTATACATAAAAAAGGAGACTCTGATGAATTAAACAATTACCGGCCTATTTCTCTTCTCCCTGTTTTGTCCAAGATATTAGAGAAACTACTGCTTAATCAAATTTTAGATTATTTACAAGCAAATGATATCTTATCCCAGTGCCAATATGGATTTTCCAAAGGTCGCTCTACCATATCAGCAATTTTAGATTTTACTAATAATGTTTTTCAATCTTTTGAATCTAAAAAATTTTACTCCACATCTTTTTTGGACCTCAGCAAAGCGTTTGATTGTGTTTCCCATGACATTCTAATAAGAAAACTATTTTATTATAATTTTCATTCTAGTGCTACGAAGCTACTATTGTCTTATCTTAGTACCCGAAGTCAATGTGTTAAAATAGATGGAAAACTATCAAGCAGATTGAATGTTGAATATGGTGTGCCCCAAGGGTCTATATTGGGACCGGTACTTTTCTTACTATATATAAATGATCTACCAAACCTTCTTAATCAGACTGACATAATTTTGTATGCTGATGATACAACTATAAGTACATCAGATTTATCTTTAGATAACCTTACTACCAAGAAGAAGCAACTTAATACCTTAGCTGAAGAATGGTTTGTAATCAACAGATTGTCTTTAAATAAAGACAAAACTGTCCAGATGTTATTCACCTTAAAACATACTGTTTTAGACAATACCTATTCAGCGTTTACAAAATTTCTTGGTTTACACATCGATTGTCAATTGAACTGGCACAAACATGGAGAACAAGTCTCAAATAAAATTTCCAAAGGTATATATTTTTTAAGATTCATGTCTAACAGTCTCTCACAAACTTTTCTTAGAACAGTATATTTTGCTCTAATACATTCTCATCTTCAGTATGGTATCTTGGTTTGGGGTCACTCGTCCTCACTTCAAAGTGTGTTTAAACTACAACGAAGAGCTGTCAGAGTCATAGCTAACATTGGATATAGAGACGACTGCAGGCAGTATTTTAGGGAACTGAATATTATCACATTACCCTCTTTATTTATTTATAAATGTTTGGAATATATTGTCACTAATCTTACATCCTTCCCGTTACTCAATGAAAGTCATCAATATTATACAAGAACGGAGATGGTTGCATATAATACATTAAGGTTGACTAAAACTAGAGATGGAACGCATTATTTAGCTATTAAATATTATAATATTATTCCCACATTAATTAAAAAACTTCCACCAAAAATCTTTTTACATAAAATAAAAAAATTTCTCGTAGAAAAAACTTTCTACAATTGTGATGAATTTTTAAGAAATAATTTTAGTGATTTAGTTGCAGAAGCTGTGTAATTTAATTTAATTTAATATTTAAGTAGATAATTTTATTTTATGTTTTATGTATTTATGTATTATATATATACATATAACAAATTAATTCTTTATTTTATTATAAGAAAAATGCAACGATGAATGTAATTTTATTTTGACGTGTGTAAATACTTCTATTCTAACACAAATATACTATCTATCTATCTATCTATCTATCTATAATACATTGGCTGTAGGCGTTGCAACACAAAATGCAGATGAATAACGGGAAATAAACGTGGTACATGAAAATTAATATTAGCAAGAAGCTGGGCACAATCTACATAATTATGAATTAGTTTCCACATAACATAAATCTAGCGTTTAAAATATGTCTTCTTTCAATTAGAGACTTGAAATTATGTTTGTCTAGTAACAACTGGTAAGCAATATTTCTAGAATGATATACTCCATTGCGCTTGAAAGAAAGAAATTTAAAAAATCGTCTCTGAATACGTTCAGTCTATACTTAATTGACGGCTTGTATACTGTGGTTGCCAAATAATACATGCATATTCGACTTTACTGAAAATAAACGCAAAATATAAGGATTGTAATAAACATCAATAACACTTTTCAATTTGTCGTCCTCCTCTCTAAGAGTTTTACTTCTTTTCCTTCTTTCAACTTTTACCACAGTTTTTCTTCTATTGTTTGCTGTACTTGTAGATGACGTACTCGTCGAAATAATAACTTTTAGTTTACGTTACCTTTTTCTTTATAGACCTCTTTAGATGAATGACAGAACGAAACAACTAAGACAATAATAAAAATTACTTGGTGCAAATATTTCAATAAGGAGAGTCAGAGCCGGATGTACCTACATTGCGAAAAGGATACTCAACAGAACGTAGGTACATAATCTGTTATTGACGCAAAATTTATTATTATTATTATTATATTACAGTAATTTTTATTGAATCAACAAGGAAGATTACAACATTTTTTTGATATCCGATAGCTGTGATAAGTTTATCTTGAATGACTTTTACTTCCTTGGCATCTATGTATATAAGCATTCATCTGCACCACAGCAGTTACAGTTCGCAGTTATCCTCTTTCGCGAATTAGTTTCTTTCAAAACTTATAAATTAAAAATTTGCAATATGTTTAACGCAAAAGTTTTTGTTTTCATCGCTTTTGTTGTATATTCTGTACAAGCAGGTATTTAAGTTGCTTTTATAGCAATATCACTTTAATAACTACAATTTTTTTTATTACTTAGGTCCCACTTGTCCAGCCCGAGACGGGAAATATCCAACCTACATTCCACACGATGATTGCACGAAATTCTATGAATGTTCTAATGGTCATCCATATTTGTTTGACTGCCCCGATGGACTACATTTCAACCCTAACAGAAATGTTTGCGATTGGCCCTGGCGTGCAGGATGTAAAGGAGCAAACAATTAATTTCAATTTTTATTACAATTAAAAATTAATTTATATTTATTTATTCTATTACTATAACTATTCTGTTGTTTGAGTATTTATTATCTTTTACAGAGAAGTTATTAAAACATATATGTAATATTTAAAACAGAATTGTATTATTTTGTACATATGACACCCTTTAATCGTTTTCATAAAAGAAAAATAAATGGCGCACAAAGTAGAGATCTATAGTTCACCTATCTAGGGATCAGACGTGTTATAAAATTGTTCTCAAATTAAGTGATTAGCTATCATGAAAAACATGCATTCGAGGGATAAAATGAGTTCAATTGACTCAAATTTCTTTGTTGGACTAAGTGTATAAAATATGTATACGAGACATTATACACGATATTGTCGCAAGAACAATGGAACTCCAAGAAAACTGTAGTAGTTTTCAAAACGAAATCTCGTCGCTCAAGGGTCAGTTACGCGAAGTAGAACTAGTAAATAATAAACTGCTTGCCCTTTTTGGAAAATGGAACTGAGAGAATAATTCGTCAATAAAATAAATGAAGGAATATTTAACGACTCTTTTCACTCTGCTGGTGGAAAAAATGTCTACATTATCAATGTGGGTGGCAACAAAAACACGACCTCTGCGGACAATAAGAAAGATCGACTTCACCAATCAAGAAAGGAAAAAAACTGGAAAAACCATAAGCCAGCGACAAGCAGCTAATGAGCGCACACAAAATAAACTCATTTATTGCAAACGTAATGCTGCCGACTCTCCATCTGTATACGGAAATTTAAAAAACATGAACATAAGTCACAAGTAAAACCTCCTCTTATTTTGCACATTTTGTGTAGAATTCATTCGGCAAAATTTCGAGATGACGTCATTAATTTTTGGGGGGAGTAAACAGATATTTTTTGAATAACAATTTACCATGCTCACAGTAACTTTAAAATGTCTACAAGGTTTCAAAGTATACAGTTTCGCAATTCTTGATTTATTCGATAAAATACGTTGAATCAGTCAACAATTATTTTGAGTCACCCTGTATAAGCAAATAAAAAAAATATGAATGCAATAAGAAATTACAAGTATAAACACATCAGATTTTAGATAGGATTTATTCAGAAAAATTTTGAGGTGTCGTCATTATTTTATTGGAAGGAATAAGCAAGTACATTTTGATTAAAAATTTATCAACTTTAAAAGATCTTCAAGATTTCAAAGCATTCGTTTTGTAGTTCCCGATTAAATCATTAAAATAAATTCACGCATACATTAATTTTTGGTGTAACGTTTTTTGACCTGTTTGATTATGTCCAGTTTCAATTACTCCTAAAAAAAATTGGTTGAAGATTGTTTCGACAGAACTTCTCTCGCCGCTGAAGTGCAATAAAGCAAATTCAATTATAAAATTTGATTAGGTATGTAAATTTTATTTTTTGCGAGAACCTTTCTAAAAATGATAAAGATATGTATATAGGGTTAACATCAAGTTAGCTTACGCTCAGGAAGTAATATAAGATCTTTGTCTTATTGGTAAACCTTTAAATTTAGTGAAGTCTTATTTCATGCATAATCGTTCACAAATTACGTACTTTAGCAACACTAGGTTCTAACCAGCATATTGTAGCCCAAGGTGATCTGCAAGGGTTTATTCTTATACCTTATACCCCTGGTGTTCCTTGTTTACATAAATGACTTTTCTCCATCAATATTTAGTGCTTAAATCAATCATTTTGCTGATGATACTGATGATAATAATTCATTACTACTAAATGATATTTACTGTGTGCGAACTAACATCACAACTTTTGAAAATCCAGAGGAAGTAAAGTTCCGTGGTATTCTTTTATATCCTTGAGTTAGCTGGGAATACCGTAAAGAGTATTTATTTAAAAAGAAATAGCTCCATGTCAGGTTTCTACTAGTGAACTAGTGTATTCAAGACCATATTATATATTTCATTGTTTCAAATAATTTTTCGAAGAAGCTCCATTGTTTGTCCATTGGTTGTAAATTGCGAAAAAAAAGTGTAGCATACAGTCTATTATTGTCGCAAAAGCGCAATGTAATTACACCACATTAATCCCCTATTGAATCAACAAAGGAGATTGCAAAATTTACTGATAACGTGATAACTTTCACTAGTTTATGTTGACTGACTTTTGCTTCCTTGCCATCTAACTGTATAAGCATTCAATTGTACCTCAGTAGTCACAGTTCAAGCTGAAATTCTTTTGAATATTGTTATCTATCAAACATTCAAAAAATAAGAATTTCCAAAATGTTTTGTTCAAAAGCTTTTATTTTTATTGCTTTTGTTATATATTTTTCGCAAGCAGGTATGTAATCCACTTTTATGTCAGTATGATTCTGACAACTACACTATTATTTTTTGTTATTTACGTCTCATCTGTCCAGCCCAAGACGGAAAATATCCAGTTTACATTCCACACGCTGATTGCATGAAATTCTATGAATGTTCTATTGGTGTGCCATATTTGTTTGATTGCCCAGATGGATTGCATTTTAAATGTCTGTGACTGGCCGTGGAGAGCCAAATGCGAAAGAGCGACCAATTAATTTTAGTTAAATCTAAAACTTAAAATGAACTTACTTACTGCTTTACTAATTTATGTTGTTTAAGTATTTATTATCCTTTTGAAATGTATTATTATACAGGGTGTTTGCGAAACGCACCTACAAAAAAACTGAAAATTGGTCTAAATGAGTAGATATCATTCAGAAAAAAATTTTCTAATAAAAGTGTTTTAGTTTCCGAAATAAAATTGATCGAAAATTTGGTTATAGTTAGAAGAACGCAGCAGTCGTTAATTTGGCGAGCAGAAGCATATGTGCAAAATAGAGGCCGCCATTTCGAAAACTTGTTGTAGTAGTAGTTTGTTTAATGTTGTGTTAATTTTATTCTTTATTTTATTTTGATTAGTAAAGTTTATTTGGTTATCGTCGTTGAAAAATCTTATTCTTATTAGTAGTTTTTTTTTTGTTAACTATGCTCATTTATTAATTAGACTGTAGAAACTAAAGAAAATGACAACATCCTGAATAAGAACACGCAGACGATTACCTATCACGTCGGAATTCCACTGGAACCAAGATCGGCGGACCACTGTCCAGAACCGCGTTCTTATAAGAACTGAAAAAACCATAGTGGAACGCGAAAAACGGGAAAGAAGATCCGCGACCCTGGACAGTGGTTCACCGGCCCTCGTTCTAATAGGACCTCGACGCAAGGAAAATTAAGAAAAAATGACTAATTACTACTATTTAAAATAATTCTTTAGTCCAAAATGTTTAAACATCCAGTTAAAATTGTTTCAAATTGATTGTTTCTGAAAAAATTCTTTTAACTTTTTACTTGAGATTTTTCAAACTTCACCTTTCGTTGTCAGTTTTTGGTTGCTATGTTTTTACAAAACTGAATTAATTGAATCTGATAGCACCTCTTACAGTGGCGCGAATAAAGTTTGGATAAAGGGTAAATTTACTTTGCAAGTTTTGATAATACACCAGGAGTTTTTTTTCATTCCTTATGCTCTCGGGAACCCCTCCATTTTTTTTGTCGGTGCATTTCGCAAACACCTGTATGTAATGAATTGTCATTTTAACCAATCCGTCTGTTTCGCTTGCAGCTGCAATAATTAAAACAACCTACATAATTTCTAATAAAATATTAATAAAAGAAAAACATAAATGATCATCAAACAATTGTTCAGTATGGTTGTCGGTGTTTTTGTTAATAGCCATAGTTGACTTGAACATTGAATAAGTGGCCTATTACGTCGATGGCCATTTATTATGACTTAATTTGGCAAAATACGACACTAACACACTTTCTGAGGTGATATTGTGAGATCCTTTAGTTGGCCACCATTAAAGGTATATTTTGTAGACCTTTGCGTACCTACTTTTGCTCTTTTGCGGCCGCAGACCTGTATAACTTCGTTTGTAGAATATTTTAATTCAGGAGGCGTTAAAGATTCGGAATCGAACATAACTCTCTCAGCTGTAATGATACAATTTCCCGCTCAGTATGTAATATACAATAACAGTGTGTTTTCATTGCCGCAACTCCCACATTTCAACACCACCGCATTCCGTACATAAAATGATATTCAACGAAATGAAAAGTCTAGATATAATTCGACAAATAGATAACACCGATTCTTTTTGTTCAATATTTATGAGTTATGAATTTTGATGAACACTTAATATATATTATAGGAGTATTTATTATTATATTTAGATGAGAAAACATACATTTTAGTTAACTTTAAAATTCTAAATAATACGTCGTGTAAGTTGTCTGGGTTCCGTTTCTGATAAATTCGACTGCTTGAAATTTTGTTGAAAGATAAAGACCTAATTACATTATTTTACACAACCCTTTAATTAAATGTTATTTTCATAAATTAAATTACTCAATTATTCATTCATAATTTGAAGTGATACAGCGATGTTTTATAAAACAGTGACTAATATATTTTCTTTGTCGAATGATATTTTTTATAAGAACTAAATACTAATAAAACATAAATTTCAGAGCTGTTGAAGAAATCTAATGTTAAAGGCTTTTTTCTCTTACAAGTTAGGTTGCGCTGACTGTGGGCACACTTCCTGCATTTTGTTACTTATCGATTGATGGTTACGTCCGTAGTTTAATCGGAAATATACGCACTTGAAATAATAAATGTGACAAGTATATCCGTTTTAAATGTCAAAGAGATAATAACAAAGCAATTATTGTTTGTTACGTGTACCTTATCAAATTTTGAAAATAATGTATGTATTACTTACTCTTATACATGTAATATACTTACTACTTGTCTCGTCACGCTTAATTATTTGATGGATCTATCAAACTCACATTAGTCGGAAACGCTCACTTAAGATAAAACTATGAAAAGCATATCCGCTTCAGATGACAGATAGATAAGAAAAAAGGAAATAATTTTACTTTTTAATATCACATGTATCAATCCTTAATTTAATGAAATGATGTTACTCAATACATATTGTTTTTATATACGATTCACCGTGTGTTCATATCGGTTTGTCGTTTCAGACTTCTTGCTCGTTTTATGTAAATCCTCATCCTTCAAAAATAATAGGAGTATTCCATATTTTT